GCTTTGTTCCTATGGGAAAGTTAACAACAAGTGTGAATGAATTTGTAACGGCTCTTGTCGCATAGTTAGAAAGCCAGAAAAATGTTGAGAGTTAGGGGAAATCGTCTGCTTTTTAAATGTTATTATTCTATGTTCTTTGGTACATTATGTAATTAAATAAAAATTATTTAGTATATTACTACCATTAGTATAAAAAAAAGTAGGATTAAGTGTCATCGACAATCGACAGCAAGAAAAAAGAAGATTGGATAGGTATTTTATTTCTTGTATTTCATATTTATTCTTTATTTGTTGTTATGAAAGTAATTAAAATGTATAAATAGGGATCTTTTAGGTTAATTAAGATTATATTAGGTAAAATAAATAATAATAGTATATTAAAAATGTTTCATGAGGTATGAACACGAGCAGCTCTTGGTAGCTCATGGGTAATATAATTCTATAGCCTAACATGAGCTGCACGTTCTCCAGGTGATTTAGAACTTATAATGGTGCAAACTCTAGCTAAACATGGTTCAAAGGGCAATAAAAAAATAAAATTTAATTATAAATAGATGCATAATGTTATGAGCTTAAAGTTGCATAGGATATACGAATTTAGTTTCATGCTACAATTTGAAGTCATTCTAGAAAGAAAAAAAGGGTAATGCATGTATGATCAGTGGGAGTAGAAGTGTGTTGGATGAAATTACATTGGACACATGGGCACCTGCAGGAAGGGGCAAGAGGAGGCATTTGCCCCCCCTTACATTTCACAGAACATTGCACGTATTATAATGTAAACTTAACATCGTAGTTAAACTAAATATTTTTGTAATTTTTATAAAACTGTAAATTTTTGTTTGTGTTTAAGTACACAACACATTCTTTTTGTCTGTTGACTTACACTGCAAAAGCTGATCCCCTTAAATATTTCTGTGGGTGCCCATGGTTGAGCATGTGTTGTTGGAATCCTAATTGTCCAGCATGTTGGTGTTATAATTAATGATATGATTCAAGATGAATTTGAATGTTTGTTGTTTGTATATTTTGTATGAAAGTTATCATTAGTGATGAAGAAG